TGAACATCTTCATGACTTCGTATCTGAATTCTTTCTCAGAGAGGTCCTTTAGGTGAGTAGCACCTGCTGAGGCTACTGGACTCTTTTCATCATCCTCCCCACGTTGTGAGGATTTGCGTTGTTTCTTCATGATGGTTTGTAGGCATGGGAAATGAAATGTTACACTAGATTTCTTGGTATGACTAAACTACTTGAGGCCCTGAATTAGCCCATGCCCACTTCTGCAAAAGGCACACCCATTTCTGAAGTGGCCATGCCCCCTCGGGAACCTGATGTATGAGGGGGTACAAGCTGGGAGGGGAAGAAGACCGACACAGCTTTGGGGATGAACAGGAAGAGGCTTAGGGCTGCTGTTGTCCCAGTGTCCTAGAGGATGCCTGGGGCGCTTGCAAGGAGAAAGCCAAGTCCCGGGTTTGAATACTGGTGGGTTAACTGACCTGGGAGGGGAAGCAGAGCAGCACAACATTGGAGACAAAGAGATAGAGTGAATTTCTTAAAATCTCTTGATTTGATTTCCCTTGTCTACAAAATGAAGGCTGAATTCTAAAGTTTCACGAGTATTATACGGGATTGTCTGTTTATCATTCTTGGTGTACAATAGATACTCAGTTGACATTATTACTATAATTGTATAGTTTTATGCTAGGAAAACAGTAACAACAAGTCTCGCAATGGAGACATTACTGGTGTCTGCTGGAGCAAATTGATGAACATTGGGAGAGCAGTGCTACAGTGCTACAGATGCTGGGAAAAGAAAAAATGTGTAGTAATGACTTCCAAATTTATAGACTTTCCTACATTTTTACTATAGTATGAGTCTCCTTGAGTTTTGATTCAGAAATTATAAGAAAACCGACATGTTTTTATTTGCTCAGATCCTGAGAGAATTAGAAAAAAAATGGTATTATAAAAATTAAAAAAAATTAGAACTCTTACAAAACATTTCTTATCTATTAGAAGAAAGAGAGATCAATGCAAATTAAAATGGCATTTTTTGAGCCTGAAGTCTTCTATGATTCTGGTTCTTCTGTTAATTTGTGTATTCAACTGCTAGTATTTTTTTCTTGCCTCACATGTAATTGTACAATAATATTATATAACTTCTTATTTCCCTCAACAGAATTTGTGTTAAATCCTAAAAAGTTTGTTCTTATTAGTATGTGATGTTATCTTATTGTTATTTGTATTTTCTCAAAAATAACATCAGTTTTTTATATGTATGTTGGCCTCCTATATGTCTTCTATGGAGAAATCTGTCCAGCTATAATCTGTATTTTTGTTTTTAGTGTTTTGTTTTTTAAACAGCATTTTTATTTAAAAAAAAGAATATCTGTTCACAAAACTTTGTGATTGTGCTTCAATTATACAATGATCCAATGCCCATCTCTCCGCCAGTGTACAATATCTACCACAACATGTCTCCACCATCTTCCAACAGTCTCCCAACCACAGCCTATCTCTATGGCAGGCACTTCTCTCTCTCTCTCTCTCTCTCTCTCTCTCTCTCTCTCTCTCTCTCTGTTTACTTTTGTGCATTATGGTTTGCAATACAGGTACTAAAAAGTCTCATGTTTTTTTCAGGGCATTCAGTATTTTCACTGGGAAGGTAAGGCTGAAGTAGCTTTTTTTTTTTTAATTGGGTGGAAGTTTTGAGGTATGGATGTGACTGCCAAGTCTTCCAGAATTACAAGGGGGTATAGGGAGGTAGCCCACCACAACTGTGAGAAAGCCTGTGGATTTCAATCACAAAATTAGCGTACTCAGATTTTCAGCATATTATATCCAGTGAGTTCCATCCCAAGACAGTGGAGTCCAGACTGGGGCATGGCAGTGATTTTGGATTGTTAAAGCAATCTGAGACAGAGGGGGGCTCTGCTTGGGTGGACATCAGGCTGACACACTCCCCTCTGATTTACCCTGGTCTGTTCAGCCTTGCGTGGGTCCAAGATTAACTACAGCTTTTGATATCTTTCAAAATTTATTTATGGGTCTCTGAAGCAAGGTGGGTAAATTAGTTTGTATAGCTGAGCTGGAGGTGTTGTGTGGGCATGGTTCCCCCATACCTAACTTTTGGCCATTTAATTTTGGGGGGAAATTTCGTCCTGGATTGTTGGGGGTCTGGCCAGAGACACAATGGAAGTTTTGGGTTATTAAAAAGCCAGAAGGCTCTATCAGACTGCTGATGTATGCCCAGTGGGTACAGGTTGACCTACTGGCAGCACAACACCCAGAGTCTGTTTATTTGGATGGAGTTGTTGGTTTTTATTGTTGAGTTTTGAAAATTCTTTATAAATTTATCAGTTGAAAAACATGTATTTTCTTTCATTCAGTGGTATATATTTATAAAATGATAATTTTTTCACAGTCCAATAGTTTCCTTAGTTTGATGTAGTCCTGCTTGTTTATTGTTTCTTTTCTATTTTCTTTGCCAGTGGAAAAAATTCTTTGCCAAAGCACTTAAACCATTAAAACAATTGGTGTGTTCTGTTTATGTTGTTTTCAATGAATTTTCTAAACTGAAGTGTAACATCAGGTTCTTTTATCTATTTTGAGTTATTTGTGTATATGGTATAGCTAATGGTGTAACTTTTTCCTTCCTTTGTTCTTTGTTCTTTCCTTCTTTCCCTTCTTTCATCCTTCCATCCTTCTTTTCTCTTCTTTCTCTATATGGCTAACCAGTTTCACAACACCATTGTTGAAAAAGGCTTTTATTTATTTACTTAGTGCTCTTGACTTCTTTGCCTTAATATACTTTCTATTATCAGAGGATTAACTTCTGGAATCTCAAATCTATTTCATTGATATCTGTAGGTTTTTAATAAAGAGTTAAACTGTTTTGATTACTATAGCTTTATAGTATAACTCAAGGTCAGAGAATGCAAAGTCCCTACTTTTTTATTATGGTTGTTTTACTATTCTAGAGATTTTATAATTCCAAAGAAATTTTAATAAACTTTGTTTTATAAACTTGAAATATTTCATCTAAATTTTATTAGGTATTGAATTCAATCTATGTAATTCTTTGGCTTAGATAAACATTTCTTTTAAAAATGCTAATTCTAGTTTATGAATAGGTAACATTTTTCCATTTTTTTTATTTTATCTATTTCTTTACCCATAGTTCTATTATTTACGTTTTCAATTTCTGTATTAAGTTTATCCCAATTATTTAAGTTTTCAATTTCTGTCTTAAGTATATACCTATTCAAAACATAGATACTTTATGTTTTTGGACACAATTGTAAAATTAAAAAAAATTCTATGTGCATAAACATGTGACTTGCAAATGCGATGTTTTAAGTTGTTCTTTTTCCTTTTTAATTCCATATTTTCTATTTCTTTCTTAATTGCTGTGGCTTTATTTTCAATACCATTTTGAATGATAATAATGAAATTAGAAAACTTTGTCTTATACCTGATCTTAGAAAATTTTCAATTGTTCATCATTGAATATGGAATTAGCAAATTCCTTCAATTGCCCTTTCAGTGATTTTTTTAAATTATAAATATACATTGAATCCTGTCAAAGGTCTTCTTCTATTTTATTGATAGAGTTATGTAACTTTTATTTTTTATTTTAGTGTATTATATTGCATTAAGGTTTGGTTCTTCCTCCCCTCTCAGAGAGCCTGGCAAGCTACTGAGAGTATTCCACCAGCATGGCAAAGCCTGGCAAGCTACCTGTGACGTATTCAATATGCCAAAAACAATAACAACTAGTCTCACAGTGGAGATGCTACTGGTGCCCGCTTGAGCAAATCGATGAACGATGGGAGGACAGTACTGCAGTGCAGTGCAGTATTATATTGTATAAGTGTTTTGTGTATGCTGTACCATCATATTAATCACATGGTATGATTGATTTGATCATGGTGTTTGGTCCATTTAATGTATTGTTGAATTCAGTTTCCTAAGATTAAACTGAGATTCCTTCCATCTATGATCATCAAGAATTATTGCCCTATAAATTTATAGCTGGGTGAGGCCACACCAGCAATACTCAGGTCATCATACTCCTGGCTCTGTGCTAAGGGCTCACTCCTGGTGGTACTCTAGAAACCATATGTGGATTCTGGTAATTAAATTCAAGTTAGTCACATGCAATGCTAGTGCCCTACCTGCTGTACTATTGGTCTAGTTCCAGTAATTTTCTTTTTTAGTTATAAATCTCTAACAGATATTGCCATTAAGAAAAACTAAAGCCCTCAGCTTATTTTTCATTTTTTAATTTAAAAGAGTAAGCTTATAACTCATTAAGGGAGATCCAGTCACTAATCTCCATTCTCACACTTTATTTTTTTATGTGTCTTTTGCTTTATAGAAGTTTCTTTGTCTTTATAGAAGACCCTTCAGTATTTCTCTCAGTAACAGTTTAGCGGCACTGAATGCCTCCATCTATTTGTCTGAATAACATTTTTACATATTTTATTATATTTGAGGTAGCATAGTTATAATAGTGTTTATCATATACAAAATTACTATATTATTACCACTTTCAACATGCCAGAGACCTTCCATCACTGACCTTATATCACTTTATTTCACAGCTTCCTTTCACATCCCTCTATCCAACTACCTCCACTGCTTGATAATCTAGTCAAAGTGCATGAGCTTGTCAGCATTGCATGAAATGCATTTCTGTACTTTGTAGCTTAATATTCACATATAAGAGATATTCTGGTATTTCTAAATTTCCCTCTTTTTTCTCTAAACATAACAGCCTGTACCTCCATCTATATAGAAAAATGCGATAGTTACCTTGTCTTATAATTGAGTCATATTTAATTATGTTTATACTACATTTTCTTTATTAACTCATCAGCCACTAAATATTTGGTTAATTTTAAATCTTTTTATTGTAAGTAGCACTGTAGTGAACATAGATACATATATATATAGCTTTTGTATTGATAACTAAATACTCTCGGAATAAATACCAAAGACTGGAGTTACTGGACAGTATGGAATTTCCATCTTAATTTTTTGTTTGTTTTCCATAGGGGCTTAATCAGAAGATATTCCCACCAATAGTGAATGAAGGTACCTTTCTTTTATTTTTAAGCCACTTAACTGAGGACATTTATTGCTTGTGTTCTTTTTTATTTAGTTTTATTTTTGTGGCTGCAACCATCTGTGTTCAGGGTTTATTTCTGGCTCTGTTCTCAGAGATCATTGCAGACAGGACTTGAAGTGTCATATGTTGTTACAGAATTCAAACCGAGGTCAGCTCCATATGAAGCAAACACTTATCATCTGTACTATCTTCTGATCCCTCTTTTCTTTTAATATGCTTTCCTCAGTGGTGAGAATTGTTTAGATTTGCATTCCTGTCATATCAGGTAGTATTGAACAGTTTATTCATATGCCTATTAGCCATCTGTATTACTTTTTTGGGGAAGTGTCTATTCATTGCCTCCATTTTGAATGGGTCCTAGACTTTGACTTTCCTTTGATGGTCCTGCTGGCTGTCATACTGTGGTGACTCTGGGTTTTGTGTCATGGATAATGACCTGTGGAGAAGGCTTGTGAGGAGACAGCTGGGGTCCCAACAAGTACCCTGCCTTCTGGATTTGAATAACACAGAAGGCAAGGCTCCCTTGCTAGCCAGGAGAGGTTGTCTAGAAAAGTGTGACTCAACTGCAGTTGGCTTTGCTATTGACCTGGAATGGATGGGGCTTGTTTTAGCAATGGGGTCTCCCTGTCAGATTTCTGGAAGCTATAGTAATTCCTACTGCTAACTTCAACACCTGTGCTCATTTCAGTCTCTTGCCACCTGTTCATATGTTGTGAAAATAGAATTCTAGAGATGGAAAATCAGGACTTGGCACAATCCTCATTTTCTTGGGCAGTGTTGGTTAGCTGAGAAGCATGCAACTGAGACTTATTTCCTATGCCCTGGTCCGTACACATCCTCTTTCCTTGTTGCAGCTTTGACTCGGAGATAAATCTCTTGGAGATTTTACCACAGTGAGGTAAATCTCTTATTCTGCTTTCTGCTCTTTTCTTCTACCGACTCCCCCTAATCACTCAGAAGGGACATGTAACCTCAAGCAATTAATCTGATTTCTAACTTGGCAGCTCACAGGGAAAACACTGACTGAAGGCCTCAAATTTGATTTCTTTTTTTATGAACTATAAAACACACTCAAAAGAAATAGAGTACTTTGCAATTACTCATTCCCTGGTATATTGTTTCAAGTCTATCTCCAACGATCTCTACTGGATCAGAAGTCTAGGGTTTCTAATAAAAGAGATTTTTTTTTTGTTTTACTATTCAGCATTTCAAACATATAATGTGTCTCTAATGTTTTGTCATTTTAACAATTATTGTTTTCTCATTTTAACAAGGCTGGAATGATAGCACAGCGGTAGGGTGTTTGCTGTGCACGGGTCTGACTTGGCCAACACAGGTTCGATTCCTCCACCCCTCTTGGAGAGCCCGGCAAGCTACTGAGAGTATCTTGCCTGCACGGCAAAGCCTGGCAAGCTCCTCGTGATGTATTCGATATGCCAAACACAGTAACAAGTGTCACAATGGACACATTACTGGGCCTGCTTGAGCAAAGCGATGAACAATGGGAGGACAGTGACAGTGACATTTTAACAAAAATGATGACCAAAGTAGTAGCTACATATAGATAAAGTAATAATCAATATAAACTATGTGATGGCTATAATAATGATCCCTTATATCCTGAGTTCTAGCCTTCTCTGCTATGTATATTACAACTATAATCTCTTATTTTCCAGAGCCCAAGTGGAATAATTTGAGTGTGAATGTTCCATAGATTATCTTACTGTATTTTAGAGATTAAAGAACTAAACATTAGTCTAGAGGAGTAGCAAATGATAGAAAAATTCACCAAGATGTCTCTAGTTTTACACTTACAACTACACCTCGTTGCCTCAGTTTCTAAAGTACATCAGTGCCTATAAACTATTTTTATAAAGCTGTCATCATGTACAAAATTTACCTGCAAAATCAGGTAATGAGGCTAAACAGCATAAAAATAGTTATGCATTTCCACATCAGCTTTTCTAGAAAAGCCTGAATATGCCAATAGCTCTAATTTTATAAGCATTAAGATATAATATTTGCTCGAGCGGGCCCAGTAACGTCTCCATTGGAGACTTTGTTGTTACTGTGTCTGGCATATCGAATACTCTCGGTAGCTTGCCGGGCTCTCTGAGAGGGGCAGAGGAATCGAACTCGCGTTGACCATGTTGGCTGCGTGCAAGGCAAATGCCCTACCGCTGAGCTATCGAGCAAGATATAATATACCTTTTCCTATGGCTTCTAAAAATAGGGAAAAATACCTCCTTTTTGTTCTGTTTAAATATTAATTTGGTGTCATATTCAATATATGACTCTACTCATTCTGCACGCAAATGGAAGATACTGAAATTAAATGACTTACTGGTATTGTGCTATATATATGTATATATATATATAGGTATGCGTGTGTATGTGTATGTGTGTGTGATTTTAATCACTTAACTTCCCGTTAGTCGTCGATTTGCTCGAGCGGGCGCCAGTAACGTCTCCATTTGTCCTGTCCCGTGCTAGTGTAGCCCAATGGCATCTGTTTGCTCTGGGAACATGAAGAGCCTCAAACCGATCGTTCATGATCTTGACAAAGAAGTCTGACCATCTGGTAGGTGGGCGGCCACGCGGTCTTTTGACATCCCGTGGAATCCAGTCAGTAACAGCTCTAGTCCAGCGGTCGTCTTTAAATCTCATTACGTGACCAGCCCATCTGATTTTTGACACCTTGGCAAATGAGACAGCGTCACTGATTCTTGATCATCGACGGATGTCGGAACTCCAGATTCTTTCTCTCATTTGAGTGAAACGTGATATTCCAAGCATAGCTCTTTCTATTCTTCTTTGGGAGACCTGAATAGTGTTCTCATCCTGTTTGCGTAGGGCCCAGGTCTCTGAGGCATATGTTAATGCAGGAAGAAGAGTGGAATCAAAGAGATGTGCCCGGAGCCAGAGGTTTTTCGTCCTCTTAACTATTTCTTCGACATTCTTGAAGGTGTTCCAAGTCGCTCTCTTCCTCCTGCGCAGCTCAGGTGCCAGATCATTTGTCATGTTGACTTCTCGACCTAGGTACACATAGCTGTTGCATTCGGAGATGGTCATTCCATTGAGAGCAAATGGGGCATCAAGAACGAGGCTGTGTCTCATAAACATTGTCTTCGTAAGATTCAGCTGTAGTCCTACCTTTCCACACTCACGGTCAAAGTCGGCCAGCATTTGTGCCGCTTGACTGATGTTTGGTGTTAATAAAACAATGTCATCATCAAAGCGGAGGTGGTGTAGTTGACGACCATCTATCTTCACTCCCATTCCTTCCCATTCCAGTCTTTGCATGATGTTCTCGAGGGTGGCACTGAAGAATTTCGTGAAATGATATCACCCTGCAGAACCCCTCTCTTGACATCAATGATTAATTCTTTGTAGAATGGTGAGTTCCTGGTAGTGAATCTCTAATACAGCTCATGGAGGATCCTGATGTATTGGGCTTGAATGCCCTGATTGGCTAGGGCTTCAATGACCTCTTCCATCTCAACAGAATCAAAGGCCTTCTTTAAATCAATGAACGTTAAACAGAGCAGCATCTTGAACTCCCGAGTAACCTCAATGACCTTGGTTATTGTGTGGATATGGTCAATGGTGCTGAATCCTTTCGGAACCTGGCTTGCTCGCATGGTTGTCCTTCATCTAGTGTTCTGCCATTCCTATTTAGGATGACTCGAGCGAACAACTTGTAGATGGCAGACAATATGCAGATCGGGCGATAGTTGCCAATGTCATGGATGTCTCCCTTCTTGAACAGTAGTACGGTCCTGCTGGTTTTCCATTGGGACGGAACCCTGCATTCAGACAGGTAGCGTGTGAAGAGCCGAGCCAGTGTATTGATGAGTACTGACGGCAGGTTCTTCAGTTGTTCAGGTCTGACGTTGTCTGGGCCGGGTGCTGTTCATGTCTTTACCGACAAAATGGCGTGTCGGATTTCAGAAGGGAGAACGTTGGGAACGACATATCCATCCTGTGGAATTTGGTATGTCAGCAAGTGGATATGGCTATCGAAGAGATTTGAGTAGAAGTCATGGATAATCTTCTCCATTGCCATTCTGGAGGATGTGATGATTCCAACAGGACGTTGGAGGGCAGTCATCTTGGTCTTGTAGTTGGCAAAGGACAGGTGCGCGTTGCAACTACTTTTCCCGGCTTCTGCCGCATCTACCAGCACTTCTGCTCTTCTCTCTTTGAGGTCTTCCTTGATCGCATCTCTGCACTGCTTTGCGAGCTCGGACGTTAGCTTGCGTTTGCCTGAGGCATGCGTCAAACCACACTGGCGAATAAGCTCAAGAGTTTTCGAAGACAGGCGTTTTTTTGTGGCTATCTCTCTCTTGGCATTCCTCGCACATTCATTGAGGTGCTGTACCAGTCGATGGTATTCCTCGTCAATGTTTTGAACAATGGCATCTTCCCATGTTGTCACAATAGTGCCAAAGAGCTCCCAGTTGGTGGTCGTTCTGGGAGTTCTCTTTTTAAACTTTGCAGCCCTTTCTCCCTGCTCTGTGAAGTAGAATTTTGCACGAAGGGGACGGTGGTCCGATCCCGTTTGGAATTTTGGGACAACAGCGACATCAGTCAGGCAAAACTGTCCATTGAATATGATGTGGTCTATTTCGTTGTGGAATCATCCACCGGGAGACTCCCATGTCCAACGTTTAGATTCTGCCTTCTGGAACTGTAAGTTACCATGGATGGTCTTGGTCGACATGATGAACTCAGACAGTCTCTCACCCTGTTTGTTCCATTCTAGGCCATGGGTCCCAATGTGAAGTTCTTCAGTTGATCTTCTCGGTCCTATCTTGGCATTAAAATCACCCACAATGATCATGTAGAAGGTGTGGTCTTCTTTATAGAACTTCTCCAGCTCCATGTAGAACTTCTCAATTTCTCTTTCATCATAATGAGATGTTGGTGCGTAGACAACAAAGATAGAAACTGCCGGTAGTGAGCC